GATTTTTGAATTCCAATGTTAACCAAAAAGTCAAAGTTTGACTTTTGTATGACTGTTGACTTTTCATTAATTGATTCAATTCTTCCACTATCAATCACTTGCATCTTTGGAAATGTTTTGAGCCACTTAATTAGGTAAAGATGTTGTATTTTAGCCCTTGAGATCATGCTTTAAGCCATTAGGTCATGCACTAGGCCAAAAGTTAATGATCAGTCATCTTCAATCAAAACCCTAATTTGGCCATTTTGACCTTTGATGATTTGAGGACTTTCCTTGAGGAATCATGATCAACCCTTGATCAAATGATGAATATTACTTCAAAATATTGGTGTTGACCAAAAATCTTGAAGTTTGACTGTATGTTGACCATAATTGACTTTTTACTCAATATAGTTTATTTTCAATCATCTGAGCAATTGACTGAGTAAACATGTGATGCAAGACTTGAAACTTGACATAAGCATTATTGAGGACCTATGATGAACCATGAAAGTCATTTGAGACCCTTGCAGTACAATCTTCTTTGAGAAGCACCAAACCCTAGTTGAAGACCCTTGCTTAGGAGGAGGTTTGACTAGTCAACTCTTGAGTGGCTTTGAGTATTTGAGACCTTTGTGAGCATGTTTTTTTGAAGAAAGTGGGAGGGTAAATTTTGGGATACAACAGTTTCGATCATGAGTTAACTACTCCTTATACTCCTCAACATAATGGTATAACAGAAAGAAGAAATAGGACCATATTGGATATGGCAAGATGCATGTTGAAGCAGGAGAATTTGCCAAAATCCTTATGGGGTGAAGCAATCACCACTGCTATCTATATATTGAATAGGTGCCCTACAAAGAAATTGAATAACAGGGTTTCTGAAGAAGTGTGGAGTACCAAACGACCATCAGTGAGTCATCTGAAGGTGTTTGGCTCTATGTGTTACAAGCAGGGTCGGCCCAAACATTTTAGGTAGTTTCTTTTTAAAAATAAGGCCTCTAATAAAAATTTAAAATTTAAAAAATTAAAAATACAATCCTTAATAAAATATTTAAATATTTATCAAATTTTATTTTTGTTCAATAATTATTTCTTGATGTAGTGGTAGTGTAAGACTTTTTAAGTCATGGTCACATGTTCGATTCTTTGAAATGATGTTTTTTGGTGAATACAACATTTAAAATCATAAAATAGTAATATTATTGTGATATTCCTCTTATGTGCTATCTGACCAGGTTCCGACTCTTTTGGGGAAGACAACGTTGAATGATATCTGGCTGGAGAAGAGAATTATATCACGGAAATTGCAGTATTGGAGAAATAAACTCCATTAGGGAATTAGATTCTGTAGACTGTGTTGAGGAAATAATCTTTAATGGGGATTGGAAATTCATAGGCTGCTGAGGTAGTTTCCATTGTATGTTGGGGAAATGATCCAACTTCCTTATCTGCTAGGAGACCTATTGGGGAGGATGATCATGTCAAGCTATCCATCAGAGATATGGAGGTGGACTGTTGGAAGAGGCCTCAATTTCTGTCTGAGGGTATATCAGATCTGCTGGAATAAATCTCTGTTGGGGGTGAGCTTTTTAGACTTATGATTTGATTCAAAAATAGATTCTCATGCCTTATATCATTTATTTGGTATTTTATTTAATTTATTTTGCTTTTAATTGAATAAAATCAAAATATAAAGAAATAAAAACCACAAAAATAAATGAATGGATTAAGAGGTCAATTATGAGGTCAGGAACACGTTTGGACTTTAAAATATAGGCCCATTAGCCCAAAAATTCAAATTTTCTCAATTTGGATTTCATGCATTTTCTCAAAACTGCCCAACTTGCACAAATCATATCTCACTCAATTTTTATCATATGAAGGTGATCTCAGACTTTTTGGAAATCTCAATATGTATCATACAACTTTCATGATGGTCATTTTTTCATTTGAAGCCTTTATCTTGATGTAAAGTGCTTTGACAAAAAGTGTCTTTTTGTTGACTTTTAAAATGACTTGTAATGTTTTGACTCAAATTTCTCAAATGAAGCATTTTTGGCTTTGAGCTTAGAGAGACAAAGTTGTAGATAATTGAATTTCCTTGAATATAGGTTTCGTTTGAGAAATTTTTGATGAAGTATGTGAAAGTTATGCTTGGTCAAAGTTTAGTTGACTTCTCCTTAAGAAAATTCTAATTTAGTAACTTTTGACTTTTGATGAATCTTGAGTTTTTTCCCATGTAGCTATGAGACTCTTCTTGAATCTATTTTTGAAGTTGTCCTTCTGGAAGCTTCATTTCTTTGATTTGTTATTCTGCAGATCAAGACAATCATCTCTGAAGTGATCAGACTTGTTGCATTTATAGCAGATCTTCTGGTCATCATCTTTGTCTCTGGAACTAGAGCCTTTGAAGCCACTACTGCTACCAGAGAATCTTTCGTTCTTTTTAGCCAATTGTTGAAACCTTTTGATGATAAAGACAATTTCCTCATCATCAGAGTTATCATCAGAAACTCCTTCATCATAAGCTTCTTCAGATTTACTGACTCTTGAGGATATGAGAGTTTTACCACAAGATTTCTCAACAACAGACTTTAAAGCCAGTGATTTGGACATCTTCACATACTCATCTCCATTTAGTTTCGTCTTTTGGCTATGAAGGTTATTTATACTTTCAAGGATTATAGTATCCAGGTATTTAACCTCTTGAATAAATGTAACTTTGGGCCTCAATCTCACAGAAAGACTTCTCATAATCTTTTTGACATGATCAACAGTTGTATAACTCTTGTTCAAAACCCGAAGGCCTGATACAATAACTTGAAACCTAGAGAACATGGTTTCAATGTCTTCATCATCCTTCATTTTGAAGAGTTCATATTGGTGAACCACAAGGTTGGCCTTAGCCTCTTTCACCTACTGGTTACCTTCATAGGTAGCACATAATGATTCAAAGATAGTCTTGGCAGTAGACTTATCTATGATTTTTATGTACTCGGTGTAAGATGAAGCATCAACAATAATACCTCTTACTCTGTGGTTTTTTCTGTACACTTTGTTTTGTGATGGTGTGAGAACTTTTCTATCAGCAATAATTCCCACACCATTCACCTCAATATTAATACCATCCTCATGGATGTCCCATAGCTCATCATCAAGCCCAATAATGTATGTGTACATTTTGCTTTTCTACCATTCAAAGTGAGTGGAATCACCATTGAATGCAAGTGGTTTAGCAGAATAATGACTCTTTTCAGGAGCACTATAATAATGTGGTATACCAGTTCCAGTAACATGACTACTACCAGTATCGTCCATCTAGTCTACTTTTATCTATGGATCTTTTTTTGCACCACTGTTAAGCGTTTAGCACAGATTGTACTCTGATGCCAACTGAAGGTGAGAAAAATATATAAGAAGGGGGTTGAATTGTGTATCTAATAAACTTTTCTTCTTGGAACAACAACTTCTGAATCAGACCAAGTTCAGATTCTGAGCAAGAGTAAACAATAGTGAAATGATTTAAAGTACATAAGCAATAACTAAATGTACACACAAAAATTATCTCGGTTCCTCTATAACGAGAGTAATTCAGTCCCCTTGTTCCACAAGAGCTTTTCACTATAATCAAAACCTAATTACAACCTTCTTAGGCAAACTAATCCAAGACTTCCTTGCTCAATCGCACCCGAAAGAGACTTCCTTGCCTAACCACACCAGTTCAGAACTTCCTTGCTCAATCAAACATGAAAGATACTTCCTTTCCTAAATACACTAGTTAAGGACTTCCTTACTCAATCAAACCTGAAAGAGACTTCCTTGCTCAATCAAAACTAAAAAATATTTTCTTGCTCAATCAAAACTAAAAGAGACTTACTTGGTCAACCAAAACTGAAAGAGACTTCCTTGCTCAAACACATTATTTGAGACTTTACAGATTCTAAACAAAATATTTAGGATTACAACAAGATGTACTTGATATACAATCAGAGGTACAAATAATACAACATAAAAAAATACCTTGTTACTTGAGATTTCTAAGATATACATAGGTAAGAAATCTCAAAACTATGTGCAATACAACAACTATGTACAAAAGCGTAGAGAGTGAAACCGTTCTTATTCGTTGTTGTGATATCTTGTTGTATATTGGTGTATCTTCTTTTGAATCTTTAGCTCTTTATATAGAGGGGGGAAAAAGAGACGTTGGAGATAACTTGCATAAGTCTTTTTGCTGAAGAAGCAGTTTCCAAGAGAGAGACGTTGAAGTAGGTACAATTAAGATCTCCAACCTCTGAATAAACTCTTTGTCCATTGTGTCTTTCTCAAATAAGGCGTTCACAGGGATGCTGGAGTAGACTGAAGAAATCATGTCAAACAGCCTTGAGTCTTGCTCTAGAACCCCTAGTTAACTTTCTCCATAATTTGGCAGTTGACAAGATGGAGCTTCTTTACACAAAGTACAGACCAGTGGCGATGTACTATATTTCTAGCTCACCAGAAGCTAAGTCACCAGACGCCGAGGTTCCACGTGATAATAAGATCCTGATCTATTAGAATATAAGTTAAATGCTTCTTCTTTATAAGTTATTTAAGTAGGTCAGAATCAAGTTAATTAAAAGTTTAATGATCTTACGCACTTAACCAAATGTTAGTACACCCTATTGTTATTTAAATACTTTATTATCATCAAAATCTAAGTAGTATGAACATATACCATAAACTTATTTATTTCAAGATTTAAGGAGCACATTAAAAGTCTTTAACTTCTCCATCAAGACAAAAGATTCCAAACCATGAACCATAGTTCCACTCCATAAGGAAGTCACCAACTCATAAAAACTACCATGCGATAACCAATGATTGTTAAATCAAAAGGCTTAGGACCCCACAACTAGTTAGCATACTTTAAAATCTTTTTATATACACCTTCCACTTGTAAATTGGAATAGAAAAGAAAAAGAAAAAACAAAAGATAGGAAGCGGGGAGATAACATAACAAACGTAAGAGAGTTATGAGTAGTTTGGTGAACTGCAATCACTTTGCCATTCATCGTCTCCCATCTCCGTTTTCTTCCGCCATCGCAACACGCTTCTCTCGCCACATTTCCAATGTCTCTGTTTCCTCACAATCTCAACAACAAGGTACTATTGCTTGTTTACTTTTCCCTTCAAATTCAACTCTACAATTTCACCTCCATATTTCCTTTGTTTTCAGGGATTCAAACCCCTCCAAAGATTGGTTTTTTGGGCCTCGGCATCATGGGTTCTCCAATGGCACAAAATCTCATCAATGCTGGGTACTTATTTGAATTTCAACTCTATTCAAATTCACTCTTTTAACTTATAAACTTCTGGGAGAATTTTCCTAATTTATTCTCAAAATTGTCCTTCTGTTTAGTGTTGATCTAACGGTTTGGAATAGGACTAAGAGCAAGTGTGATCCTCTAATCAGCTTGGGAGCCAAGTATGAATTCACCTTTCCATTACCTACACTTTTTAATAACTACATTTTAGTATAAACACAAGATATATGCTATAAATTTCAAATTGTGCGTTTGTTTCTGTAGATATAAATCATCTCCCGAACAAGTAGCCGCATCTTGTGATCTCACGTTTGCTATGCTTGCTGATCCTCAAAGTGCCGTGTGTATATTTCTGCTTAGTTTTTAAAGCTTATATATTAGTTATGAGAGTTAGTTATATTTGTTTCTGTTCTATATATTAGATGGATGTTGCTTGTGGCAAGTATGGAGTAGCAAATGGAATGGGTCCTGGAAAAGGGTACTATATTTACATTCTAAGTATTTTCGATATATTGCGACAATTTCATAGATAATAGAATTTCAAATGAATATTGGTACCTCTATATGTCCATTAGTTGTCTAAGATAGGAAGATATTGTGTGCGAGCGAGCTTATGGTGTATGTTGTGATATGTTGTTTCCTTAGTTTGATAGCAAGCTTAACATCTTATATATTTTTTCAGATATGTGGATGTATCAACTGTTGATGTGGACACGTCTAAATTGATTAACGGGCACATAAAATCCACTGGAGCGCTATTTTTGGAGGTGTGGCTCTATGGAACACAAAGGACACTGTTTAATTAGGATATGCGTTATTCCTTGCATGTTTTAGTTGGATGATTACATGAATATGTGAGTTGTAACACTTGTGAAACAGGCTCCAGTTTCAGGTTCCAAAAAGCCAGCAGAAGATGGACAATTGATATTTCTTACAGCAGGTGAATATTCTTCTTCAAGTACTGATAACTTAGCAGTATTAATTTGGCACCTGAAAGGAGTTGGTGTATATTTTTTCTTACGAGTAGACAATTCAGCTAGGACCTGTCATGAAAGTTGCATCACTGATTCATTTCAATAGCTACAGATATTTGAAATTATGAACTTATGAAGTCTTTCCAAATGTGTTGTACCGTAAAGAATCTCTTCCTATATATAGCTCCCGTTTGAAGACATAACAGTCATTCGGACTTTGGTTACAACAGTATCGGAAACTTAAGGAAACTGAGACAATGTAAATTATGTCATGTTTCAGGGGACAGAAATCTTTACCAAAATGCTGCTCCTCTTTTGGACATCATGGGGAAAGTATATATATATATCTAGTCCTTCATTAAAAAAATCTTTGATCCTTTTTCCAAAGCAAACAATTAATTTATATAATATGTATGCTTTATGATTCAATGCAGTCTAAATTCTACCTTGGTGATGTTGGAAATGGAGCTGCAATGAAGCTCGTTGTAAATATGATCATGGGCAGGTCCTTTGACATTTGTCTCCTGCTTTTTTGCTTCTATTTGACCTTGTGTTGATGATTAAAGTGACACTATTTCTCTCTCTCTTTTTCACTGTTGTATATAGTATGATGGCATCCTTTTCTGAAGGCTTACTTCTCTGTGAGAAAGTTGGGCTCGATCCAAAAGTACTAGTCGAGGTATTCAGTTATTCACTAGTCCACGAAATAAAATCTATAGTGCTAAGTGTCCGTGTTGGATTCAATGTTTCGTAGATTGCGAGTACTGAAATAATCATTATACTATATCGGTCCCTTTACGAAATGAAAATTTTGCAGGTAATTTCACAGGGTGCGATTAATGCTCCAATGTACACAACCAAAGGCCCGTCCATGATAAAGTCACATTATCCAACTGCATTTCCCCTAAAGCATCAGCAGAAGGCAAGTATATAAGCAATCTTGTTTTATAATTCTCAAACATCAGATTGAATTTTGCATTCACACAACATAATTTAATGTTGACAGGATCTAAGGCTTGCCCTGGGGTTAGCGGAGTCTGTTTCCCAGTCTATTCCGATTGCAGCAGCTGCTAACGAGTTATACAAAGTTGCAAAATCACATGGCTATAGTGATGAGGACTTTTCAGCTGTCATTGAAGCATTAAAAACAAAATTTCAGAACTCAGAAAACCAGTAATGTTCTTATGAGTGACAGGTTCAAGTTGACTTGAAATCAATTATAGGCCGATTGTGAGACTAGTCAATTTAAATGCAATTCCCAAAATGTAGAATATCGTACTTTCAAGGGCTTAATTTTTTTGGAAAAACATGATTTTCAACTAACATTTCATGTATATGCTCCTCCTCTTAATCGTTTTTTCCTTGATTTGTTCTTCCATAGCATACTACTCACAAGCAACTTCAAGTAGTATTATAAAACAATCTAACAACGATATTAAACTATGCTAATCAAGGTCGAGTCAGACTACTAAACTACGATTCAATTCCTGATACACGACTGAGCAAACTCGCCTGATACACGACTGAGCAAACTCGCCTTGTGAAAGGCTATCATAGACCTTTTCCTCATTGATGGTCAAGTCATTTTGAGTTCCTTTGGTCTGACAAATTATTTATTTATTTAGGATTCAAATTCGTGTTTTTTTCTTCACTTGACTCATACTTGATGAAGTTCATTAACCATTTGAGCTCAATTATATGATTAAATATTAAGAAGCATTGTAGGTTCAAAAAATGGATTGATGAAATAAAGGAGTAGTTCGAATCAATAGAGAAAAATGAGACTTTGAAATTAATATAGTTTCCGCCACAAAAGAAAGCAATTAATATCAAGTGGGTCTATAAGGTGAAAGTAATTAATCCTAAAAAACAAGGCTTGATTTGTTGCAAGAGGTTTCTTACAAAAGGATGTAACTGATTATAGAGAGGTGTTTGCACCCGTAGCTAGAATGGAAACTGTGAAATTTGTGGTAGCAATAGGTAACTGGAAACAATTGGAAGATGCATTAGATGGAAGTTATATCAACAATCTTGTATGAACCAGTTGGATGAGGAAGTTTATGTCAAACAACCCTTGGATTTTTAAGTCAGAGATCATGAAGTGAAGGTGTATAAATTGAAGAAGGCTTTGTATAGATTGAAGCAAACACGTACACCGTGGAACAAAGAATTGAGATTGTAATGTGCCAACAAGTATGCTTGCTAAGACAATTGAAGAAATTTAATATGTTGCACTGTAACTCTGCTAAGACTCCAACTGAGACAAACTTGAAGCTTTAAAGGGAAACAGAGTTAAGTTGAAGTTGATAGAACACTTTAAACATTCATGATGAAAAGTTTAATAGCATCATCAGACTCTAATGCCTTGGCCTCATATATACAATTGACTCTTTTACCAAGCACTTGCTTATCTCTGGTTGTTACAATGATTCTACTGCCAGATCCAAACCAATCAAGTCCTCCAACTAAATTCTCAAGGTGTTCTAAGTCATTGATATCATCGAGAACGAGAAGAACCTTTTTACGTGCGAGTCTTCTCTTAACATAAGGGGGAACTCCATTAGGTGTACCGATATGTAGATCATTTTCCTTAAGCAATATAGAGAGAATTTTATTCTTCACATAAATCATTCCATGCTTCTCTGATTCTTCGGTAACAAAGACGGTTATACACTGCAGCTGCAAGAGTTGTCTTGCCAATACCGCCCATACCCCAAATGCCAATGGCAAGAACATTTACAGTTGAAGCTAGGCACAAAAGTGACTCCAAATCTGCAATCATCTCTTCAATGGCAAGAACATTACATTCAACTTGGATGACAAACATTCGACAATTTCTTCTATAAGCTCAACTTCATCCCTACACAACAAGAAAAAAGAAAATCTTCATCATGTTTAAAGCTATTATTATTAATTTTTTTTTAATCACACAAAAAGGACAAGTTTTGATTGGAAACCATTAAGACCATCTTTGATTTTATCACTTGAATATGCTTTGATCTTCAAAATGATATAGAAACTAGACTGAGACTTGCCCATTGTACTAGCCAAAGAATTTTGTATGTTATTTAGGAGCATTCTAACTCCTAGCAACTAGCTACTGGGTATTTTCACTCATCTCTGAATGAAATAAACATTACTTTGATCCCTAAGGTTGATAATCCTCAATTTATGTGAAATTCTGGTACAGCAGATTCAGATGTCCTGCAAGGATGTTGAGATATCTGATATGACATAAACGCACAGGTAAAATAGTACTGAAAAGATATAGAACACACCGGAATTGTTTACCCAGTTCGGTGTACAACAACACCTATTCTGGGGGCTACCAAGCCAGGAATAAAATCCACTATCAGTAGTATCAATTTGCAGACCCTACAGCCAACACACTCGTTGACGAACTACGCACTTAATCACTACCCAATGATCCTTCTACCTAGGTCCTCCTTAGATATGGAATATCCCCATCCCACTTCCAATCATCTCAATGATGTCTACCAGTACACACCTCAGTCACTGCATCAACGGCCCTTCACCAAAATTTTGATCACACAGATAGAAGTTTGGAAGACACACTTCCATGACAACCTAGCTAAGTCTACAAGCCACACTCCACTGTTTGTTAGCTTTGCTCCTAACTAAGAACACATCCTGGAGTTGCTTCAAAGCTTCCTCCAAGAACAATACACCTCTTACCTACAGGTTTCGAGGTGAACATGGTAACCTTCCCACAACCCGGGAGGTTTACCTTGACAAAACCCTAGACTTCTACGTCTTGAGCCGTGTTTTTTCTAGGTTACAAACCCTTCTATTTATAACCTGTTACCCAACTGGTTTTGGGCCTTCAAACACAGCAAATCAGCTGTAACAAACTACAGAAACTTCTGCCCCAAGAAAGATCTTCAATTTTTACTTTCCTAAATAATCACCTTATTTAGAAAGTCTTCATTCTCCTTGATTTCTGATTGAATATTCTAGACCTTTAAATATGCGCCACATAGGATGCATAATATTCTCCTGAATATTATGTCTATATTGAAAACAAACTGAATCTCATTAATCCAGTTCAGTAGGCGCGATGTCAAGACATCTTCTTCGACATGTTGTTCCAGTTGTTGAAAAAGTTCAACACAAGATGTTCTGACATTATAATAGAACTTCTTGTTATACCTGTTCTTCTTATCCTATTCTTCATTGCTGCTAGTATTTATTTTACAAAAATTAAGTCAATACTAAAACAAGAAAACTAACACTATGAGAGATTACTGGCCGGTTTCATTATGTAATGTGTTCTACAAATTTGTGGTGGAAATTTTGGCCAGTCGCCTTAGGAGCAGTCTATTTCAGTGAAGGAAGATCTATTCATGACAATGCTATAATTGCCATTGTGTGATACACCACATGAAAGAGGTAAAAGAGAACGAGGCTATAGAAAGGTAACATAAATTTAGAAGACATTCTTACAACATATGTTGAACAAGCCTCTGATCAAGCACTAAATTTCCGATTACTCAGGATAAATACTGATCAAAGAACCTTTGACCAAATGTTTGGGATTCTTGATGTCCCTGCTTGTTAGTTGTCTTGGTGAATGTAGACAGACACCTTTGGCTGTCCATCCACTTTCTAGTTACATCAGGGGTGGAATTTGATAGAGGCTTCAATCTTGGAAAGAGTGGTCCTTATCAAGAGCAATAACAGAGTGCTCCTATATATCTTCTCCCATCATCTCTTCAGAATAAGATTGAGAGAATGATGAACTCTTTCTAGTGGGAATCTGGCTCAGGTGGTTAGCTCGGGACAAGCTAACTTTCATGAATCTTCGGTTGACAATCTCAGACAGCTGGTTGCTCGCAAACAAATCTCCATAATATCCTTTTTGTTTAATAGTAGTGGATTCAGTCAATGGACAGTGAAGGGAGCTTCTTAATTATGTCTTTAATATTTTGAAAAATAATTTGATATTTTTATAAAGATTAAAACTCAAATTGTCATATACTTTAAAATTTAGTACCTAAATTGGTGGTTTACTCCTTTTGGTCATGGACTGAAAAAATAAGTTATTTAAGGCCTCATATTAGTATATTTGGCGCAGAATCAAGATAATCAACTATTTTAAGAGCTTGTTTCCATTACTATATAAAAGTTGAAATGTAAGTAAATAGTATATAGTTTCTAAATTCAGTAAATAATAGGTGAAAAATATCAAACATGCAAGGGCTTAGGGATAATAGGGTTTACCCAAAATTTGATGAATGAAATCCAGAAAGATTAGCAGCTATAGTCAAAGCAGATCTCTAATTTTGCACCTTATTGCCTAAGCTTCTTCCATTATTTTTTTCATGTATAGCTAATGAATCTCCATAACTTCCTTTATGGTGCCTTACATCCGTTGGATTTACATTGTAAAAAACAGGAATCATAATCTATTTATTTCTTGCCATACATTCAATTATCTTGACAAGTTCTTCCAAGCACCATTTTGAAGAAGCATAGTCCTTTGAAAATATGACCAAAGAAATAAGTGATCCTTCAATGGCTTTGACAAGTGGGGTTGATATATTATCTCCTCCTTCAAGTCTATCATCCACGTAAGCATCAACTTGTTTCTGCCCAAGTTCTTTTCTTAAATGGCTCAAAAAACCATGTCGTATGTCTGTGCCTCTAAAGCTTATGAATACATCGTACTTGATAGGAAGAACATCGCATATCGGATGCAATTATATTAAGGTATTGATTTTTTTCTTCACTACGTTCTTCTGTTGCTAATTTTAAATCATTATATCGCTTTAGCAAAAAAAAATCATTATATCCCTAAACTTTTCATTTTTATGTCTGCCTATCTCATTTTTCCTCACTATTTGAATACTTTAGAACATTTTCTCTTCTCTTTTTAAAAGTCCTTTTGTGCTCTCAACAAATTTTTCGGTTGAATATGTTACATTTTAAGGTACTTTTTTTCACTCTTTCCTTAGGGAACTTCCAACTATATGGGTTTTACAAAGTTTGAATTGTGAAACAACATACAATATTATTAATATTATATGATACCAAGTTATTAGAGAAATTCATGATAGTATGACATACATTCATTATAGAAACTGAAGAGGAAGCCCACAGAGGAAGCCGCATAGGCTTACGACATTGAGAAAGTGATTTCCTTCTATAATATAGAGAAATTGATCCAAATCCAAAATGTTCATTGAAAAGTGAAGCACTTAATATTCAACAACTTGCTGATCAGCTACAAATTGAAGAACATTTTTATGTAATTTGAGTGTCAATGGGTTCCTATGGTATTTGGATTTGTCTAAAATATTTGCCTCACAGGTACATGAGATATTACATTCAAGATTAAGTAGCACTTATTTATTTGTCAAGAGAGGGAGTATTGACTATTCTTGCACTTGAATATTTTGTAAAACAATAGAGGGAGTATTGACTATTCTTGCACTTGAATATTTTGTAATTACTCACCTCATTTTATCCGCAGTTTCGGTCAGTCATTCATGCGTGGCAAGGGCAACCATTTGTTCCAATGACATCACAACAATTTGGACATTCTTTTCCTTCGTCTAATGTTGGGATGCCTGTTATTCAGGGTCATCAATTGCAGTATTTTCAACAAATGCAATAGTTTCCTCCAAGACAAATTCAGCCCGGTCATCGAGTTTCTTCATCACAGGGTATACATATGCCATAATATTAGTTAACTTGTTATATGTGATCTTAATATTAGTTAACTTGCTATGTGTGTTTTTTCTTCAGTGAAGAATGACCCTTCTCTTTGCGCGCGTCATGTCCTCCTCTCCAATCCTCCACCACCACAGACACATCAGTGTAATTTGTATAAAAATAAGAAGTATTATGGAAGTTAAGCTTTATAATGACAAGTGCGAGAGAGAAATGTACGACAACTTTGTTGGAAGTTAAGCTCTGTATAATAGTTTTAGAACCAACATCATCTTAGTTTTGAACAATGGGTTTTGTTTCATTTGTTGTGTCTACTAGCATCACTAAGCCTATTGTAAGCTTCCATTATCTTTGTGGTTGAAGCTGTTCTTATTTTGTGTTTTCTTTACATAACTATATATGCTACAACAAGGAGTTTCAATACTTTTGCAGAGGAATTCTTTTGCATTCTAACTTATATATTTTATTATAGCGTCTTTTTAACCAAATATTTATTCTGATACTTCTCTCAGTAGACCTTTTCTAGCTCAGATTAAATCGACCAAAGATTTATTCTGATATTTCTCTCAGTGGATCCATTTTCTGACTCAGATTAAATCGACCAAAGATTTATTCTGATACCCTTCAAATACAGTCAAACGTAGACTGATTCTGATATTTCTATCAATAGTTACTTTGGATGACATCTTTCAGCCCATCTCCGATGAATCTCCGTCATCTCTCCAAATGGAATCTCTAAGCCCATTCCCGATATAATCAACAAATAGATTTACTTCATGTATAGGCGAGTGCAAATTTCAGAGCACTTAAGTGTTCAATCCTCTTCTACCTTCAAGTCACGAATGACGGACAAGTCAATCTAACTCTTCAGGTTTAAGAAGATTGAATATGGGCAGCTGTTGTACCCCAAAATTTGCCCTCTCTTTTCTCAAGACATTTCTCAAGGGTTTGATCAGACAAGTTCACCTCCTAAGCACTGAGTCCACAAATTAGGATTTTTATTTTCTCAAGGACAATTGGACTTTTGATGCCTCAAATGACTT